CATAGTCGTCTCCGCCTCCTGGTTCGCATTCCGCTAAGACCACTGTGGCGGTGTTCGCAGATCAGGGAACGCTGGGTGAATCCCCGCTGCCTAAGGTTATCAGGTAATCTGCAGGTGATTGGTGAGCGCGTGGTGAGTACCGGACTCTCAAAATGCAAGGATTCCCAACCGCTCTTCGAAAAAACTACCTTTAAGGCTGCCTGGTGGACACTTTGAAGCAGTTCTTGTCTAGTATGTGGCCCTCGTGGCAAGAAGAACCTCCTGTTTTACTAATTTTTCTAGGTAGGACACCGGAATTCGTACCGCCCTCCCCGAAACTACGGAGGTACTTATTCCCCTGTCTCAACTTTGGTCGCAACCCTAACCGCCTTGGACAATGAGAGTCCATATTGCCACATCCAACCGTTTTCTCTTATTCACTTTTGTGTACTTCGTGTTTCTTGGCCTTAGCGACACAATTCGGTCGATTGATCCTCACGCTCTTTCCCTTCACGGACGCGGGTGAAAATGATGAACTTTCTGGCGGTCAGAGACGACTTGCAAGTTATGGCGTGAGATCAGGCCATCAGTTATGCCCTGCTCGGGTAACTTGACCCAACTGTGATTGAACTCACGTCTTCCAGTGGGACCTCGTAGTTCAGGTGACTAGGGCGTTGGCTGTACTAAAGCCTTCCCCTTGCTGTTGTGGGATCAAATCCCACCGAGGTGCCGAGTTTTTTTATTGTTGGGTCAATGTGGATTATTCCCTACTCGTTAAATTGGTATCTGAACTCTCTTTCGTGAGTAAAATTTCGCCAAAGAAGAGCTCGCCTAGGAGTTTCAGCAGATCCCGCTTGCATCCAAATAAGCTTTAGTGGTCGACTTGTATGAATTCTCTCGGACGGCCCTCTGCATTCACAATGAGGCAACTGGTTGACTGTGCTTGTTGTATTCAGCTGATCAACGCTTGGAATTCTCCAAGCCCTCCTCTTAAGTGCTTCCAAATTTGGTCCCCTGTTGACATTCCCCTTCCCTTTTTTGTAACCCTTTTTTGAGCGTGATCGGCGTTCTTTTAATTAACTACAGTGCGTGACATATCTCATGAAATGTTGGCTGAAATTCTGAAATGCGTTTTCGATTAGGAAGGATAACTTGGTCGCGGTGGTGACACTGATTATTATAAGGCATACTCTTATAACATTTTGGCCTCGGCAGGATGTCGACTTTTAAATGCATTTCTTTTCAGCTTCCTGTGGAAAGCATGCTCAGTAAAAAATGACTACTTAAGTAGCATGCATTTTTCCCATTGATTTTCGATGGTCTTGGAAATTCAAATATATGTTATAGAAACCATAAATAAAAATATGCTTTCTTTTAGTCAATCAATAGAAAATCACGTCTTCTTTATATTTTATACTTAAGAAAGGAGTATAATTAGGTTTTAAAAGAGTTTTCTAATTGCCGAATAATTTGGAGCCTTATCATTCGTTGGATCAGCGCTAAGTGATTACACTCTAAAAGGTGCATGCGTTCCGCGTAAAGAAAATCCCATATTTTTCTATGTCATTAAAAAGATATCATACAGAGTCCATAAAATTTTGCAATGGATGCGGACCATGTTGTACATTTCATGAGGATCAGTGGTAAACGGCCAGGTACGATGCTATGTGAATGGACATATCGCGGTCTTAAAAAGTCTTATAATAATAAACTTTTTAAAACCTAATTATACTCCTTTCTTAAGTATAAAATATAAAGAATACGTGATTCTCTGTTGATTGACTAAAAGAAAGCATATTTTTGTTTGTGGTTTCTATAAAATATATTCGAATTTTCAAGACCATCGAAAATCAATGGGAAAAATGCATGCTACTTAAGTAGTCATTTTTTACGAAGCACGCTTTCTACAGGAGATTGAAAAGAAGTGCATTTAAAAGCCGACATCCTGCCGAGTCCAAAATGTTATAAGAGTATGCTTTAGAATAATCAGTATCACAACCGCGACTAAGTAATCCTTTTTTATCGAAAACGTATTTCAGAATTTCAACCAACATTTCATGAGATAGGTCACGCACTGTAGTTTTGTATTCCGACCTTGAGCTGGGAAACCGATTTGCTCGAACAGTAACAAAGGAATTCTTTATCTAGGGTATCCATTGTTGAGGTTTGTACGTTTTTTCATTATTACCTTATTCAATCAATAGTACCGAAATTTGTTTTGGCTTATACGCGTCACTCGTCTGGAAAGGAATTCTACAGGATTGTTTTATCGTCTTGGCTTTGTGCATGCCTACACCAATGGCTTTTTGGTAGGTCGGCCTTGATGAACCCGAACACACGGTGCATCTTTAACTCCCATTCCAGAGTCCCGACAAATTGGGTGCTATGGTCCGCACGTTTAAGGGCGTCATTGGCGTACAATTCCTTGGTCAGCAGGTAGCTTTCAATGGCAGCTTGTTGCAGTTAGGACTTCCCGGCACCCACATGCAAGCGGCCTCTACAACCGTGAAGGTTTCCCGTGAGCCGTCCGGCAATGCCCTCGAAACATCTGACCGCAGCCAATCAACCCTGCCAAACGCAGTCTCCTTGCTTGTGCATACCAGCCCTACTTTTATAATTGGCATGCCTAACTTTGCTCTCAATCGCGAACTGCGACAACGGGCTGACCGCGCCTGAACCCCTCTGCCACCGGATTCTCCATCTCTCGAAAGTCGTCCCAATCTTTATCGCTGGGACAAGAGCTTTATTAGCCTGACGTTTTGGATTCCTGCACGAACCAATCATCAGAGACAAAAGTCGATACGGGTAGTTCATGCATAAGAGGCTGCAGTATTTATAGGATGCAGTAGCCATGCTACCGTATACCTATGAACGTTCACGGCTCCCCCCCCCCTCCCTCTTCATCAGGGATCGTTGCACGTGGTGTGATGGCCGACATTCGCGTCGTTAATTGCTGCAATCTCGTCACGTGCGTTGGATGTCGGTGTAATGATTGCCGGACCATCTGATCCACCGACCCTGGCGTTGGGAAAAGTGTTTACATGTGCGCTTCCCGCGTGGCTAATTACTCCGCCTAGGCGAAGTCTCAGCTCCGAGTATGGAATGGGAAGATCATTGCACTTGTGGATGGACTGGGGGTCAGTAAACCATTGCTTGCCTCCGGTCTGTGCGCAACTCCAACCCCAAGTTGTGAGAAAAGGCGGTCGACAGCTCCCAAAACGTTCCTAACATGCGGAAGCGCTCGCAAAAATCTGGTGTCTGTGCGGTTAGGCCTTTCGTCCCTTTTGCGTATGCCCCGGTTGACGAAGTTTCGCGAGTAGCCATTGGCCTTGGAGACCTGTCGGAGGTATTGTAGTTCGGCAATCTTATCTTCCGGCTGGCTCACTGCAGTGCATTACGACACGCCGATAGAGCGTCCTTACACAACTGCGTTTGTGGCTAATTTGGTGGTTGCTGTTGAAGTTTAGTACTTGCATCGTATTTGTCGCTTTCCTGACCACTTTGATCTTTAATCCATTACAATCTTTCCGGCATATGAGAACATCCAGGAAGGCCAGCTGGTTGTTCTCTTCCTCATCCATCGTAAATTATATGTCCATACATACAACTGCCGAACTACAATACCTCCGACAGGCCTTCAAAGCCAGTGACTGCCCGCAACTCTCCCACCACAGTCGCCATCTCAAGAAAGTCGTTAGTGTATTCTTTCGTTCTGGAAAGGGGCAAAGTGTGCCGAATAGTTCATCATACTGCCCCAAAGGAGTTACTCTAAGATTACATATTAATCTACGAGGAAGTGAAAAGGGTGGCATTAATTACAGAGAAGCACATAGGAAGTACTGGCGGGAACCCAGAAACGAGCCAAACCCCTCGCAGCTGCGTCATGCAGCGGCACGAGATCGGAGAAGTACGCGTGTCTGGACTTTTAGCTAGCACCTCGGCTGCCAAAATGGTAAATGAATCAGGGATTGTATGCTACTGACTGCCTGTTCGCGACTTGCGAGCAGTGCGCGGTGCCCTACTGTGGCTGATGGATTTCAGCTCAAATATCTGTACCAACTTTTGGACCGGTTGTGCAAACATTTATTCCAGAGGATTTACTCCAGGTTTGCGCATTTATTACGGAGGAAATCAAACAGGGCAGAGTAGAATTTGCCATTTGGACCAACCAAATGCCGCTCATTCGCCTCTTTCTCACTTTTACGAGCAGTAGTCACGCAAAGTGAGTCAGCACCACTGCATCTAGGCTTTCGGCCGATATTCGTCACACACACAGGGCGGGCCAAAAGAGGCAGCGCCGTGTACTTTTCCGTCCTTTTAGCAGCTTGCTGAAAGTATCCAAGGGATCTGTTTTTCCGAACTGGCTTGGACCTGAAAGGTATTTCCTGCCTCCGCATCCTCCGCATCCGCCGCGTGATGTCACACGTTCCGCAGAGTCCGCGGCTTGGCAAGCCAGACATTCAGAATTCGACGAAAGCCCGCATTAGCTGACAGGAATCAAAAATGATTCGAAATACAAAGCTCCCACTGCGCATTGATGGATGTCTTCCGTCGCCATGAGAGCGCTACGACCTGCCCGCTTGTGTTGACCGCCAAGCCCGGTGGATGGAGGCGACTCCCCCACTGAATACCGAGATCGGAGCCGTAGTGAGTACTCGCTTCAATTTTGGGACCGTCATTTTTGTGACCGTCGCGTTTGATTCCGTCCATCTTGAGTCCTTGTGGCTGATAATGGCGTTAGATAGTGTGCCAGCAAAAATAATCGCCATGGTCAAGGCCTATTATCGCACCACTACTGCGAGAGTCCTGGTCCGCAACAATCTTTCCCAACCGTTCGGTATTCGGTCTGGTGTTCGACAGGGTTGTATCCTGTCGCCCATTCTGTTCATCTACGCTATTGACTGGATTCTCGGGAGAGCCCCACACAAGGGTGACGGTGTTGAGTTTGCACCCGGACACCGACTGACTGATCTCGACTATGCCGATGATATCGCCTTACTTGCTACAAGTTTTGGTGATCTGCAGTCTATTGTGTCACGAGTGAACGAGGTCGCTAACTCGGTCGGTTTATGCATAAACGCTAGGAAGACTAAAGTGTTTTCAAGCTGCACCCCTGACCAAGAGAGGGCACATATCGGGATTGATGACTGTCAACTTGAAGAAGTAGACAGTTTTAAATGCCTCTGGCCGAGGCCGCTGACGAATGGGCAGAGTAAGGACGACATTGTCTGCCGAATCGATGCTGCCCGCTGGGTTATTCAAGCCTTCGGAAATGCCTATGGATCCAAAGCGAAATCTCCATCACCACATAGATTTGCGTGTACCGTGCATCTGTCCGGTCTGTCCTTCTTCACGGTTGTGAAATTTAGGCGTTGCGCATGAAGGATGAGCGTAACCTGGAGGAATTTGACCACCACTGCTTGAGGACCATCCTTCGAGTGAAGTTCACCGACTTCGTCTCAAATGAGACCGTCCACGCTCGCTGCGACAATATCGCAAGGATAACTAAGGCCATCCAAGAAAGACGACTGAGGTGGTTCGGGCATGTTCTTCGTCGCCCAACTCAGGAGCTCAGTGTTACTGCCCTCGATCTAGCACCGTTGCCCCATTGGAGGCGTCGAATAGGGGGTAAGCTCAAAATCAGGCTCGATACAGTTCGTCAAGACATGGAGGTGGTTCTTGGACCTTCACCACTCGGCATCCGTCGCTGGCGAAGAGGATGGGTTGAGCTGTCCACATCTGCTGCCGCGGATCTCCACGCGTGGAGCGGCACAGTTCTGGACATCATCGAGGCCGGCTAGATCAGGCATGATCGCAGCCGTACCGAGTACAAGCGCAAGTATCTCGCAATTCGAATGTGCTCTTTTCCAGCACTTTTCGGGATGTGTCTGGAGCGGGACAAGCGCAAACCACTCTTCGCTCAACGCCATAACCGTGAGATTTCGTCAGCCAGCCAAGGCTGTCCGAGAGAGTGAAAAGGACGCCTACTCATGATCTTACTTGAGGTTAAGGCTTTACTGAAGGCGGTCATTGACTGGTATTCTGCAGCATCGCTTTTTTGCTACTGCTTTGTCGAGTGAACTACAACCCCTCCCCCAAAGAGAATCCAACGAATTTTATGCACTGTCCTCAGCAGCTTATGCAGTCGGTTGTGTCCATTCCTCGGTGACGACGGCAATCCGAGTCATATGATTCAGTAGGATTGTCGACGCCTTTCCACGTCTTTTTGGATAGACTGAAATATAACCCCTTCCACCCTCCCCTACCAAAAACATCCATGTTGACATGCTTGAATATTGATTTCGTTAGGTATAAATCTGCATCTGGCTATCGACCTCGGAAACCTCGGGAAAACCTATGGGGCATTCGTCCGGTCTCACTTAGAGTACGCAGTCCAGGCCTGGCGACCGTGGTTGAAGAAAGATTATCAACGACTGGAAAGGGTATAGGCGATGGCTACGAAGATGGTCAAGAATCTTCATCATCTGCCTTACGAAACCAGGCTGACCGAACTAAATCTGTTTCCTCTAAATTACAGGCAACTGCGCGGCGATCTCATTCAAACCTACAGGATTGTCAGAGGTCGTGAGTGTGCCCTAGACTTTAATGAATTCTTCGAATTGGCCGGGACTGACCGCCTGCGTGGTCATCCCTTCAAGCTGCAGAGGAAGCTGGCCCATTCGGACGTCCGACGGAACGCCTTCTCTCACAGGGTCATTGGGGCATGGAACGGACTCCCTGATGTAGTGGTTCTTTCCGAAAGTATCGATTCCTTCAAATGTAGACTACATGGTCATTTGTTAAGAAACTACTGTACATACAATAACGATTGTTTTAGCGGCGGCAGTTTGCGCCTGGCTCACACTTACCGCTAACTTTTAAACTTTTCGCATTTGCTGATGTAATTGATGACTTTATTTCCGTTTATCGATATGAATAGGGAGCTCAAGGGTGAAAGACTCATTCCCTTAATAAACTGACTTAAAACTGACTAAACAGCATGTTCACCATACTCTTCTCAGTGGACTAAATTGGATCAATGGGCGTTTGGCTAGCTGGCCCGAAAAGGATACATTTGAGAACATGTGCGGCAGTATGCGGCGCAATCCACAAAAACGGCAGAAGGTGCGAGCATAATGACGTATGGTCTCATCTTAGACGAGCAAAGAGGACTTTATTTGATGGGGAATCTTTTTTGCGACTTCCAGTGCGTGACCGATCTCATGAAATGTTGGCCAAAGTTCTCAAATGTGTTTGCTATTAGGCAAGGATTACTTAGGTGGGAATGTAATACTGATTAGCACGCAGCATAATCCCATAGCATTTCGGACTCATCAGGAGGTCGGCTTTTTAATCTCCTGTAGAAACCGTACTTGGTAAAAATGACTATTAAAGAATGATGCATTTTTTCTTTTGCTTTTCGATGTTCCTATAAATTCAAATAAATTTTATAGAAAACATGCACAAAAATATGCTTCCTTCTACTTCTTCAGTAGAACATCACATTGTCTTCATATTTTATACCCGAAGAAAGTGTCTATTTAGGTTTGAAAAGTTTCTAATTATGAGATTTTTAAGGCCATGCGATGTCCATGCATACAGGGCCGCACATATACGTTTACAAATGTTCCTAGTGTAATTTACAACACAGTCCGGATCTATTGAGAAATTTTATGAACTCTTTATGTTATCTTTTTAAAGGCATGGAGGAATATAGGATTTTCCTTACGCGGAATACATGCGCATTGTATAATGAAATCGCTAATCGCTGATGCAATGGCAGATCAAACTGAAAATTATTCGGGAATTGGGAAACTTTAAAACCTAAACATACACTTCCTTCGGATATAATATATGAAGAAAATGTGATTTTCTACCAAAAAAGTTTGAAAAAACCATATTTTTTACATGTTTCTATAAAATATATTTGAATTTGCAGGACTATCGAAAATCACTAGGAAAAGGCATGGTACTTAAATAGTCATTTTTTCCGAGTTTGGTTTCTGCAGGATGTCAAAAAGAAGTGCATTCAAAAGCCGACATCCTGCCGAGTCCGAAATGTTATAGGGTAATGCTGCATGATAATCAGTATAACAATCCTTCCCAATCGAAAACGCATTTCAGAATTTTGGCCAACATTTCATGAGATCGGTCACGCACTGTAGTTACCGAAACGGCTGCTTAAGCTTCGCATAAGAGAAGAAAGCAAATTAATCCTTGGTACGTCAGAGGGTGTTCAGAAAAGCTGGACAGATATTCATACAATTTTTAAAAAACTACTTTATCTCATTGAGCATTTCTGCTCGAATTCTCCAGTAATCTGGTGCTCGCAAATACAAATGTTTTATTTCATTTATTTATTAGTATATGGGTGGTGCCTCTCACTCGACGACTGACTGGTTACTGGCCTTGAAGGGTGATGGCGTAGGCCAAATGCAGGGCAGCGTCTCATCCTTGTGGGCCTTAGGGATTGTGTGCGCATGCAATGTCACATTCCAGCAGACCCTATCCCTCCCAGCCTAGTGCGCGCTAGCAGTTCTCTGGGATCTGGTGGACATAATCGACAATGACGGTCGGATTGTTATATGGCACAATGACAGAAACATCAAAGGGAAACTGGATGGACAATACTATTAATAGATGAGCGATTGCTGTCGAGGCGCACAATTGGACCCAAAAGCAAAACGAGACGCGTGGGTCTTACAACGCGATCGATGAGTGCTCCTCTAGCATTATTAATATACCCGATCGCTACCAACAGGACGAGTCTGTGGCTCAGTGGTTAGGGCGTTAGACTTCTAACCAACAGTCGGTTGCAAAACCTGCAGTTGGGTATGGCTGGCTGATGATGGCCAAAAAGCCAGGAATGGTCAGTGCTCTCAAGCAGAGGGAAGGCCGCAGCAGCACATACCGACAGGTCACTTGACGTCGTTGACTGTATTCCCGTCAACCCGTGGAGAAGAAGTTAATTCCCCCCGGTATTTTTGTCCATCTGCATAACATTTTTAAAGGCTTTCCCCTGATCCAAGTACATCGAGCTGACAATGCCAGAGTGATGCGGCATGTGTCAATTGCACAACCGTAGTTCGTCTTTTCGTAAAAAGTTGTTGTTTAAACGCGCCTCCCCCGACTTTGAGAGAATTGAATTTTCAAACTTATTTCCGTCTGTGCAGGGTGATGGGTAATTATTTAAATTGCATGCTACCTAACAAGCTAGAGCTGTGAATAATGATCTTGGCAGTTTACTTGTTTTCGTTCTTCCCGGATATGAACACGAAACTGTAGGTCCATTCAGGATTAGACGATGGTGAGAAACCACAGAATACCCCAAACCGATGACCTCAAACGCATTCCGGTCCCGACCAGGCCCTGAACGAATCTCCAGTCCAAAGTTACATCTATGCCATCACGCACGTACCCTCATAGCGTCCTAGAGGAGTTCACGTAGGGGAAGAAGTTCGAATGAACATTCTGCTGCATTGTACAAATTGCCTCTTTTTATTTTGTATACACCAGCCATTAGGTATGCTAACGGCATACGGTGTGCCGTTGGATGTCGGCGAAACACACCCAGTTGGAATGGGCATCTCGGTTAGTTAGGCACAGATGTTCGCAAATCAGAAAGCGCCGCTAGTCCTAACAAGGGTACCGGGAGGCGGTACATGCCTTCACTGGTGCAACCGCGAGGGTATGGGTAAACACAATGAGTGACCGATCTCATGAAACGTTGGCCACAATTCTGAAAGGCATTTTCGATTGGGAAGGATTACTTAGGTGGGATTGTAATACTGATTATCCCCCGGCATTATCCTATAGTATTTCGGATTTGGCAGGATGTTGGCTTTTGAATGCATCTCCTTTCAATCTCCTGTAGAATCCATGACCATATAAGTAGCATGCATTTTTCGCACTGATTTTCGATGGTCTTATAAATTCAAATATATTTTGCAAAAGACGTGAACAAAAATATGCCTCCTTCCACTCGTTTGAAAGAGGATCAGGTCAACTTTATATTTTATACTCGAATAAAGAGTACAACCTGTTTTTAAAAAAGTTATTAATTATGAGATTTTTTAAGACCGTGTAGTGTCCATTCATACAGCATCGTATCTATCCGTTTACTCCTGCTCCTCATGAAATTTACAACGCGGTTTGCAAAATTTTATAGACTTAATATAGCATTTCTTAAAGGCGTAGAAGAATATTTGATTTTCCTTACGTTGAACGCATGCACATTGTAGACTGAAATCATTAGGCTCAAATGCAACGGCTGATCAGGCTGCAATTTTTTCGGGAATTAGAAAATATTTTTAAAACCAAACTTAGTACTTTCTTTGAGTATAAAATATGAAGATGACGTAATTCTCTATCAAACGAGTGGAAGGAGGCATATTATTGCTCACGTCTTTTGCAAAATATATTTGAATTTATAAGACCATCGAAAATCAGTGCGAAAAATGCATGTGACTTATATAGTCATTTTTTACCGAGTATGGTTTCAACAGGAGACTGGAAGGAGGTGCATTCAAAAGCCGACATCCTGCCAGATCCGAAATACTATAAGATAATGCGGCGGGATAGTCAATTCTACAACTCCACCTAAGCAATTCTTCCTAATCAACAACGCCTTTCAGAATTTCGGCCAACATTTCATGAGATCGGTCACTCACTGTAAGTGTCATCGAAGTAAGGTGTGAGAGAAAGGATTTCACTGGTCTGGTTAATGGGCAGATATATCGGACGGTAAATTGAAGCACTGTTTTTCCGGAATAAATTTAAACAATGCTAAGGCGAAGAAACA